ACACTCGAACGTTTTTATAAAGATAATATATTTTATTTTAATATATATATTAATTGCGTTCCATTTTGTCCATGTCTATTTAGTTTTCTAAGGCAAGAATCTTGTGGATATGCAAAATCGGTAAGTTTTATTCAACCACTGAAACCAATGGGTGTTTGATTAGTGATATTATTGTTTCCGCGCAAATTTATTTGATGTAATTAACAGTAAGTTTCTCTTTCTTTTTTTTCCAGAAAAGGAGAAAGTACGATTGAAAATACGAGGGAATCACATAAAATGTGTGAAGGTAAATTATGTCGGGCGACATTAACAATCTATTAGTATTACGAAGTTCCCTCGAAAAATATCCTCCAACCAACGCCATAATAAACACATTGATTTATACACAGTTCTTAAGCTTGGCGCACATGATGCAATTTTAGTTGGCCGATAAAAATCGTTTGACATACCAATATACATCGGTATACCCCGCACACGATTACGAAAAAAATATGCTCCCTGAACTGTTGCTGCCATGTTGCCAAATAAATACAAGCACATGATCACAGCATGAAATCTGATTGGTTATACTTAAAATTCCACCGATAAAATCGTATAATATCAAAACGTTTTGATGTTGTCCGATTAAAATCGAGCAACAAAAATCGGTTAAAAATGACACCGCACACACAATTTTGTTAATTTTAGTCAAACGATTTTTATCGGCCGACTAAAATCGCATCATGTACGCCAGGCTTTAGCTAATCATGCAGTGTTCAGAATTTAAAAAAATGCTATATATAATTATCTTTATAATATGACATGCGTAAATTGTGAACACTGATTGGCTAAGAGCCATGTTGATATTACTCGATATTAACACAAAAAATGTTTTATATTTGTTAAATATCATTCTAGATCAACGCTGAATCACCAGCATTAATTATGATCGTCCTAAATGAGGAAGGGATCAACAAACTCAAATCTGTTTGGACAGATGGGGTCAAATGTAAGTTAATAGATTTATTGTTTATAAACAAACTTTTGTTACACTGGATAGCTTTACCAGCTTCGAAGTGTTCTCCCTAGAGATTCAGCAACGATTGTGTGTGTGTGTGTGTGTGTGTGAAATGTATTTAAAGACGCTAGTCTTATTAACAGGTCTTGATTTTCATCAGGGGTGTCACAGTGTTACTACAGGAGGAAAACTAAACTAAAGTAACTTTATTTATACTGGACAGCTTTGTCAATTATCAGGAATTTAAGACATTCTGCTGCCATGATATATTAGGCTTGCGTTATTCCCCAAATCTGTTTGAGCATGCGCGCTTCAATAATTTTTACTGAGACAAGTAAAGTGCGTTCTTTTAGACACCTGTATACTGTATTATGTAAATAAATTATTCATTTTTACATATTTGTAAAACTTTGAATAGTTGGCGTTTTTCATTTTGCAACTTAATTTCGTCTTTTACTTGTTGCACAGTCATTTCCTTATAGTTTGAACAATTCTTGTTCTTGCATTTTATCGAAAACATGATTTCTGAAAGATTTTGCTCTCTTTTTTCTCAGATCGACCATTCCACTACCCCCAATAATTTTCATCCTTTTTTCATATTTCTTTTGACCGTTTCTTGATAAGTTTGGACCATCTCCTTTGCCAAACTATCTTTCTCTTCCTCTAACTGAGAATATTTTCTTCACCACTATTCTCCCAATTGACTGGTATGCTGAGCTATATCATCATATCTTTAATGAACATCAATTCATTAACCAATCTGGTGGATGAGTACACTTTACATTAAGTTCTCTCTTTTTTCTGCTTCCTTTAGCATTTTTGTACTTAGTAACGACAAAGCTCACTTCTCGTCTTAGCCTTTCTTGAATTCGAAATCCAGTATAGCCCTGCTGACTTGAAACCATCCATTTGAAATCTAGCTATTAAATAAGTCAAAATAATAAAAAAGTCGCCTTTTGAATCCATTTGCCCGGCCATTCTATGCCAAAAATCCAAGAGGGGATAAGGAATCTTAAAACATAAAGCAGTTGCAAATCTATTAACATTTTCTTGGCTAATGTTAGACAAAGGCAGATTAGTGATATTCAATTTATATTCAAATTTTTTTACTTTGAGGTCACTCAACGGTGACGTCTTGAAAAATCCTGCAATACAATTGATCAGCAGCTTCTACGACAAGTGAATCGCAATATAAATACTTACACGAAGTACTCTCAGTATGAAAATAAAACTTGGCGTTCAAAACAATTACCTGAATTAATTATCTTTTGTGCGTTGTACACAATGTTGTCTTAGATTTCCGGTAATGCGGAGTTCTAAACTGCTCTCCAAAGAATAGAATAGAATAGAAACTTTATTTCACGAGGGAAAACGTACTAACCATAAAAGTTACAGTGGAACCCCGTTAATATGGTCACCAACGGGCCGAAATAATATGGCCGTATTAACGGGGTGGCCGTATTAACGGGGTGGCCGTATTAACGGGGTGAGATCAAATTTCAATTGTGACGTCATTAAAGCTATGTTTATTCGAAAATCACAATAACACCATACCCCACCATAATACCAATTAATAACTAAACATTATAAAGTTCAGATAAAGTTGTCACTAATTTTAAGGAAACAATGTTAGGGAATACAATGTCGCTAAAGAACCTTGTATTCCTTTCTTTTCCTTTGCGCGACTGATAATAAAAATAAAAAAATTAGTAATATGATGCAACTTGAATTGTGTGTTTCACTGCACAAGGTGTCTTAAATTATACTGCATTTCCGTCCGTAAACATTTAAAAAAACCGTTAAAAAATTTTCAGCTTTACCTACCAAATTTAAAATATTTAAGAGAGATTATTCTAATTTTGATGAAACTGCTTTAGTTAATGATATACAAGTAATTGATTGGTGGCAAGTCTTTTCTGGTAATACCAATACTAATGATATGTTTGACAGTTTCTATAAAACAGTAACAGAGATTGTTGATGCCCATATACCCACTAAACAATCAATGTCAATCTAAACCTTGGATAACACCTGCTATTAAAACTTCTATTAAGAAAAAGAATGACCTCTATAAAAAATGTTTAAAAACCAAATCCTAGTATTATCATTTGAAATTTAAAGGGACACTCCACCCCCCAGAACAAGTGTCGCTCATAAGAAAGCTTTATATGAGCCTACCCTGAATGAATATTTGTTCGCCTCAATTATTTTTCATTTGCGAGAAATTTAACTTTGTTTCACTGATTTTTCGTCCATTATCGCTGACATGTTTGTTGAATCCGCGGGTGGTCCTACGAGTGCTGTGACGTAAGTGTGTGATTGAAACAAATTGTATAATCAGATTTGCTTCGAAACAAATTGTATAATCAAGCTTTAGTCTTGAGAGTCTCCTTTTAAATATTTTTAACCGAAGATGCCTCATTGCATGGTTCCTGTGTGTACTAACAACTCGCGGAAAACTGTGGGAATCAGCTACCATAGAATTCCAAAAGAAAAAGGTTTGAGAGAAGCGTGGTTGGCGAGAATTCGAAGTCTGAGTTAACCCACACAATATAAATAATTCATGTGTTTGTTTGGCACATTTTACAATTACACCAGACTGTTTCGAAAGAATGCTCGATCTTGTGCCTGGCTACCAAAAAAGGCCAAAGCTAACATCAGACGTGGTGCCATCTATATTTCCGCGCAGTAAGCCAGAAAAAGCTAGAAGCACAGGGCGAAGAAGTAATCAAATCCACTCTGAACAAGCCAGACAAGACAAGAGGTATTAAGCAAGCCATGAACGCTTGCATGTATTTGTAGTATAAAAAACTTGTACATTATGTAATTTATATTTTGTAGTTTTCATATTGTGGCAGTAAGAGAATAAATGATCATTAACAGAATTTATTTACCCAAAATCACACCGAAATGGACTACGAAGCTGTTAATTTATAGTGTTTACATCAAAGACCGAGTGTTTCTATCACACACTTACGTCATGGCACTCATAGGACCACCTGCAGATTCAACAAACATGGCGGCGATAATGGACGAAAAATCAGTGAAACAAAGTTAAATTTCTCGCAAACGAAAAAGAATTGAGGCGAACGAATATTCATTCCAAGGTAGGCTCATATAAAGCTTTCTTATGAGCGACACTTGTTCTGGGGGTGGAGTGTCCCTTTAAAACTTACAGAAATAAGATAAATCAGCTTCTTAAAATAAGTAAAAGAAAATATTACAATGATTATTTTTGTAAAAATAATAATATGAAGAAAACCTGGAAAGGAATAAAACAGATTATATCTATAAAATGTCAAGTTAATACTGTACCTACTAAAATAAAGAAAGAGCAGAATGAGATAACTGATCCTGATCAGATTGCCAATGCTTTTAATGAGTATTTTGCTAATATTGGAACTTGCTGATCAAATTCCTAACGTAGATAAATCTCCTTTTGATTACCTAACGTCTTGTTTAACAGAAAGCTTTTATATTTCACCGGTCAGTACTTTTGAGATTGAGGAGGAAAAAGACTTCATTGCAATAAATCCTCTGGCCCTTTTAGTACTTCCATATCCATTCTTAAAAAAACTAAAATTTGTTATTTCTAACCCTTTAGAAATGCTATTTAATTTCTCATTTAATTCAGGCGTTGTTCCTGAAAACTTTAAATTAGCAAGAGTAGTACCTGTATTTAAAAGTGGGGCACAGTCTAATATGGGGAATTATCGACCAATCTCACTTCTCTCTGTGTTCAGTAAGCTCCTAGAAAAACTTATGTATGATAGATTGATTGACTTTATTAGGAAGAAATCTATGCTCTATCCAAAGCAGTTTGGTTTTCGTGGACAACTTTCCACAAATCATGCTCTTTTGAGTATTGTTGATAAAATACAGAATTCAGTTAACAATCGAGCTCAAGGGGACACTTAAGAGCTCCTGACTCAGAAAGATTATTGTTAGCTTGCAGCAGGAAGAGAGCCATTCTGCGGTGTCTGCTCTACAGCTGGCAAAACAAATGGGGCACTTGTTTGGCTTGTCTGCTCAACAATATTATAACATTGAAAATGAAGATGAGTCAGATGCGAGGGTTGCCCCAATTTATCCAACGCCTGACAGAGGGACACTCGCAACCAAGGGTGGATGTGCTTTTACCGGACATGGAGGAGGAGCAGCAGGAGGAAGAATAGTCGCACCCAACAACAAAAGAGAAGGAAGAACAGCCGCAACCCAACGGTCAGGAGCAACCCCCACAACAATGAAACGAGACAAAGAGGACGGTGAAGAGCAAGAGGAGGAAGATCCATCAGAAGATACAGAGGATTCCGAAAGGTTGGTGGATACGCTCAACCTTTTGCAGAGGCATGAGCTGCTATCTCTGTTCTCTGAGAACTTAAAGAGCGGAAGAGCAGTGATGAAGCACTTTGTTCACGTAAGGATATCTTGAAACCGAATCATCAAAGGCGTGGATCTGGATGTGGCAGTGCAATACTTCCTGAGGAAAAAAGCTTCCAACCTGTCTGGTGTACAAAAGGCGAGCATGTGGGTTAAATCATCCAACTTCAACAAGATCAACTCGCATGCAGCCAGCAGCTCGGGGACATCAGGCAGGTTATTTACAGGCTTGCAGACACTCCTAATAGAGGAAGCGATCTGGTCCCTTCCTCCCAATGCTTCTGGACAGAAATGTGTCGATGCAATTACATCCGAGGAGAGATGTAGGGAACAGTGCATTCATGATTCATTTACAGCACAACAACTTAAAGTCAAAGTCAAAACCATTAGGTGGAAAGCTGCCCGAGAGGCAAAAAGTTTCCACTTGTAAATATGTATATAGATTAGTGTTAGGGTTGACATTTTAAGGTTAGGGTTATACATTATTAAAGTTTTCTATGTATATTTGAGGGCAACTTCAGAAGAGGTCGCCCATTGTGCAAAAATTAACTTAGTGAATGATCCCGGAGAGACCTGTGAATGAAACAAATTAATTTCCTAATTGAATTGTTGAGCTTATGCACTCTAAAGTTGCGTGAAACAGTTGTGGTGTGTTTGTTTAGTTTCCACCATGGAGGATCTATTTTTTCTTAAACATATATCAACCAAAAATGTTCTACTGGTCCATAAGAACATTTTTGCTTAATATATGTTCAACAAAAAATAGGTACTTCATGGGGAAAACGCGTCCCGAAAAGTGACGATAGTGTATCACCGGTATGATTGTTGATTTTTTAAGATCAGGCAGCTCAGCAAGTCAAGGAAGAACACACACTGGATACAATCCCTATGAATGCGATTGTTTCGTTTATTGTTATTGCGGATTGTTTACAGCTTCTTTCATAAGAAAATATAAACCTATTTCAGAACTTGTTTAACCCAATTTCCTTATAATCACCATTTTTAGAAGAAACTGCAATTTAGAGAATTGAGAGCAATGCACAGCCTACTGTTTTGGCTAACATGGAAAAATCTAGGTTCTTTAAGCTGATCTTGCACAGAACATTTTTTAATGGCGATACGCAACACACTGACGACCCAATCAAATCTTGTATACCTTAATTAGCATTGCGAATCGTCGTTAAAAATTGGTCTGTGTAAAATCAGCTTTAATACATGGGGTTTTACTGTATTGTCTATTGACTTTCTAGGTTACAATCATTCAGTTTACTGCATTACATTTGAAAATCAAAGTATATTTACAACAAAGTGTTAATATATTTGTTTTTGGTCACAATTTTGACATTGAACTTTTAAAAATGTTACCAGTGTCTAATGCATTTTATTGCATGACACTCTATACAAAACAATGATAGCATTCACTGGTGTTAATATTCATTAATTATTGTTGTTCAAAGTCTAAAAATAAAAGCAAGAGATACAGACTTGGCTCATGACTATTATAAATTGTTTTCCCATATATTTTGTACTTTTTGTATTTACTGTTTCACAATTTTCATGGAGGACCGACATGTATCACAGTTAGTTTCTGACGATTGGGGAAATATATCAGATATATCATTAGTTGAAAATGTGGCTAACAAAGGGAAAAACAGCGACGAGGGTTGCAAAATCTTAAAATTTATCCAAGACACCGAGAGAGACATTGCAGCAAAGTCAACTGAGCAGGTGAAGGGTATATTATTAACATGAGACAAAACAGCAAACCTTTATAAAAGAAGGCAGAAGATCTTGGACTACTGTAAAAGTAAGATTATAGAGTGTCCAAAAGAGAAACTTGTAAGACGATTAAATAGAACTGGTGGCCGATCTGCCAACGAAAAGCTTGCATGTGATATTATAGCCTTGGTTAATTTTTACTCTTCAAGGGAAATTACAGCAGAGTTTAACGATATGTTTAGAAAACCCCTGTGTGATAATACACAGGATATTCTAAAATCATTACATAAATAAGAGACAAAGCAGTTTATGACATTTGTCGAAAATTTTGATGTTAAGGTTAGTGAACTAAGGGAGGACTTTGATCGATGCAGAACGTTCAGAAGGGAGTTTAGACATATTGTATTCAAGTGCAGTTAAGTCTACAGAGGCTAATGTATAAAAAAAAGATGAAACAGTCAGTGATATAATTTGCATGGAAGTCCCACAAACTAGGACAGATAATTCTAACTCTGGGACAAACACAAAAGCTAGTTCAATTGCTTCTAAACAATATAAACAACAAAAGAATGATTCAAGCACATCATATGCATTTGTGAGTCGACCTGAGTCCACTGGCTCGGAATTGAATAAACAAGTACAACAATCAGAATGCTCAGTCATGCAACTGAGTCAAATTCCATCATTGATTATATAATCTTGGACAAGGACCTGGTGCAATACATGGAGTCTGTGCAAGTACTCAATGAACATCCGGATAATGTGGCCTATCATTTGCCATTGACAATCAAACTATGCACAACAATTACGGAAAATTTAGAAAGATCAAAGAATGAAGTTAACCAAGATTACATGCATGAAAACATTTGTTGGAAAAAATGTTCTGCTGACATGCTAAATATTTACAATTATAACTTGTCAACTTCAGTATCTGAACGAAGAATTGAACAATGTAAATAATCTGTATGATGAACTTTGCAATGCAATTAAAAGCACGGACATTGTTTTACCGAGAGTTAAAAACAGAAAGCATGTAAAGCCTTTCTGGAATAGCACACTTAAAGACTTAAGAAAGGCAGTTATGGCTGCAAGATTGGAGTGGATACGGAAGGGATCCCCAATGTTCCCAGAGAATATTTATTACATGCAATACAAAAAAGCTAAATGCAAATATAGAAGAGAACAGAGACGATCAGCCTGGGAATTTGAGAGAAAAGAATTTAACAAATTAGCTTATTCAAATGAGATAAATCAGGAAAAATTTTGGAGATTGCTAAGTAACAGAGCACGTAAAAAAAAATAAGAAAAGCAAAATAACAGTTTTGGAAATGGATACAAAGGTGTGAAGTGATCCACAAGTAGTAGCTGATCTTTGGGCTGAATATTATGAAAAATTAGCGACACCCTCTAAAGATAAACAATCTGACGAAATGAACAAGAAAGTTATGGAAATTTTACAATGCTCGGAGTTTAAGCATGATTATATATTCAGTAACGCCCGATAACTACGGAAGAAATAGATACAACTGTGAAGAATATACCAAATGGCAAAGCACCTGGAATCGATGGAATTAGTTGAGCATATAAAGTACGTTATTGATGCCCTATTGAGATTTTTAATTTGATTATTGAGTCTGTCTGTTTCAAATTGGCAATTAAAATCCTGATCCCAAAAGGAAATAAAAATTCTCGATCATTTGACGACCATTGAGGGATAAGTTTACTACTGAGTATAAATAAAAGTCTTGAACGAATTGTTTTATCAAGACTATTAAGGGTACTGAAATATCTACATCACCCCCTCCAGGGGGTTTGTCAAAAGCAGCAAGATGCTTTAACAACATGTTTCACGATTGAAGAAGTTATTAATCAATGTTTGGAAGAAAAGGAAAAAGTCTGTTGCTTACATGGACATTAGCAAAGCTTTTCAAACAACGGGGATCAATTCTATGCTTTTCTAATTGTATCATAACAAAGGCATCTGTGGTAAAGCCTGGCGACTTATTAGAGACTGGTATATTGATATGGCAGAGTTTGTGCATATAGAAGGCAAAGTTCTCAAAAATACATTATTCAACAAGGAACAAGGCAAGGGGGTGTTCTCTTGCCATGGCTTTTCCTGGTTTTCATTGATGACCTAATTGAGGAGTTACAGCGTACGAACGCTGGGATTTCTCTGAATAGTGTTTATCTTGGATCGCCCATGTTTGCGCGAAAGAAATCAGGGCTGGACAAAATGTTACAGACGTTGTGGGAATATAGTAACAAATGGCAATTCACATTTAATATTAAGAAAACTGTTGTTCTAACTTATGGTGAGAAGCAAGAAGAGCACGGTACAAATTGCGCTATTAGAAAATGGAAATTTGGCTCGTTGGACATAAGTGAAAAGGATACATGTTCAAATTTGGGAAAAATCTGTCGGTAAAGGAAGGTATGCGTCTTCCTAATGAGTCTTGGATCTCATCCAAGATTGAATCCTATCATTGCATCCTATCTATGGAAGCAGATTGGTATTCCTAAATTTCTTTACGGATCCGAACTTTGGAAATGAGTAAAAACGATCGTATTGAGTTGGAATGGGTCCAAAATATTACGCTTCGTATTATGCAGGGCCCTCTCCCTGGCACATCTGGCTCGGCAGCAAGGGGACTCTTGGGAATATTATCAATCGAAGCCAAAATTGGTAGGCGTAAACTTTATTCCCTGGGAAGGGTGATTTATATCAGTGCTGGTGTACTATGCCGACATGTTTTGTTCATCAGATTGGCTCACTGGAAATGGAATCATAGAAACAATATGACCGGCTTTGTACCGGACATAGTGTGTGTTTTGACAAAATATGACCTTTTGGATTATTTAATGGCATTTGTCTCAACAAACTGTTTTCTGACGAAGAAGAATTGGAAGAAAATTGTTAACCTGCTGTGTATATGAAAAATACAATTGTGTTTGGCAAGAGAAAATTAAAAGAAACAAACAGTTATATTTCTATTCACAGGTCAATACCAACAACGAAATTTCTGAATGGTGGCTTTTTGCAAAAGAGTATCCCAAGAACCTTGAAATAACTAATGTCACATGACTGCTCTGTGGATCATATAAGATCAGGGGGAAACGTGTTTGTAACCCAGTTGTATACACAGACTTGTGTGAAATATGTAAAAAAAATTATGTTAACCCTGTAAATCACGCCTTGTTGTACTGTTTAGCCTCACACAATGAGAGGGAGAACCTGTGGAACTGGATAATTTTGAAATTGAATCAACAGTAAATTTAGTAGCCTTATCTGACTCAGATTTTATATTGACTATACTAGGACAAAATAGAGAGACATTGGGCTTAGACAACAAACAGAGAAAAGCATTTTTGCTAAAATCGGCAAACTATATTTCATATTGCTTTAATAGAACCGTTATTTCAATATAGCTAGCAACTGAAATTATACTAATTAAGTAATAGTAATTTTTTTCATTCTGTACTGTAAAAATACTCTTCAGAAATTGGAGGAAATAAAGCTTTAAACTACTATAAATTCTTGAGTAATTAATATTGAAAGCAAAATGTCAAATTGTACTAATTTTCAAATATATTTTGTACTTTTTGTATTTACTGTTTCATAATTTTTAAATGAAGGTGGGCACATTTGAACGCTTAACCCAAAACTTAAAACTAAAGTGTTTCTGTGTGTGTTTCACACAACGAATGTAT